TAGCTATTGGCGAACGGCAAATAACACGATTTAAACGGTGATATAAAACCATGCTCGTATACAACCTATAGAAAATGCAAAGGGGTCAGTTCTAAAGTAATTCTGTCCCCTTTTTGTTTACCGCATCATTTATGAAGAATACATTTTATAACAAGAAACATACATCGAGGGGGTGATCATAACTTTTGCGTATTTATTTATTTCTCCAGTTATGTTTTGTTGCACTGAGGAATCTCCAAACAGGATTTGTTTAATATTTTTTTAAGATTTGGCTGAATCAATTTTGTGAAAATGAATTCTCATATACAGTATCTGATTAAAAATGAGAAGGTAACATTTTATTTATAAGTTTATTTCCACATAAATTCTCTCCCATTCTTTCTCTGCCAACGGTGTTGCAGTTTCTCGCTTTCCCCCGTTTTTTGTGCTTAGTGCGTCGATGGGTCAGAGTTTGGTGGAGGACCCCGCACCTTTTCCGTCAGTTATTTTTTATAAATCGCAAACCAGTGCGTAGAAACCCTGGCGTAAGCCCATCTGTTGTGGCGTACGTACCGTTTTATAAAATGAGGGCCCCTGTCCTATTATATTTTGATGCCTAGACTTTGGTATTTTACCTAAGAAAACAATTTTACTTTATACGTTGTAACGGAGTATTTGGTATTTTTTTTACTTTACCCTCTCAGTACAGGATCCTGAGTAGGCTCCTCATAAATCAGAATATAAATTCCTTTACTAAACCGCTAGATTAACAGAATTAAAAATAGAATCAAGTTCAATATCCAGGCGTAAAAAAAACAAAAACTCCCAAGCATTTGGTGCAGACCACAAGAGGCAGCGAAAACCTTTAAAATGCGTGTTTTCTGAATGAGATCGGGATCCGATCAGGATAAACCCAACCTGTAGCTGCCTTCCCGTCCCAAACTCACAACCAACGGCAAAAAGTACAGAATGAATAAAGCAGCGACTGTATTCAACCATGACATAGACATGTAGTGCATGGGCGGTACCATTTTTTCAAATACCCGGTCATACCTTGCTGACATCATACCGTGATAGCGGTAATATGACGGTATCAGTCCCAATTTAAGGTAATTTCTCCCAAAACAATTTTTTTTACTCACCTATATCAACGCCCCCAACCAAAAATATTTCCCCCCAGCCGCCCTTGACCGGTATGACTTGGTTCGAAACCTTATTCCATTTGATTCATCTGGATTACTCGCGTGAATGTTTAGCACGTAAAATGCCTTTCGTTTTAAAAACCCCCGTCCCCGACTCGACTACAAAACGCATCACCATTGCAATAAGGATAAACATGTCAACACCTCACTACACTCCGTCCTTAAACATTCCAAAGAAGTGCCTCTGTCCCTCGTTGTGCTGGATGAAAGTCACTGGCGACGAGTAAACCAAATAGATCCAACAGGCGCAGAGGCATTTTTTCTTTTTACTAGTTTGTCCGAGTTCGGGCCGGAAAATGCTGCCGCCCATCTTGCTCAGCTCAGCTCTGTGCTGAGCCTCTGAGAGTGGGGAAAGACCGGACTGCCCCTCACCCTGCCCCTCTGGCTGGCGCGTTTGGCCTGTGCATTACAACCAATGTCGTCCCTCGTCAAAACTCCGTGTCAGTGTAATAGAATGAAACGACATCTGTGATTTGGCGCACAGTCTGTGACGTCACGGTATTGAAAATCAATACCGACGGTAGTTTCGAAATACCTGGTATACCGTAATACCCGGTTTCATAAGCCGCCCAAAGCCTAATAGACAGTCTGTGTTTGTTCATGTTTAACTTTGTCCTGTTACTTGAATAGATATGAGGAGCTGTGACTCTGTGTGCTAAACAGGCTACGGCTGATGTTTTGGGACATGTTGCGCTGTCGGTGCAGACCTATGGGTGGCAGACCATCCACGAAGCGTCATTTATTGACTGGCAGCAAAAACAACCATCGAAGCTTGGCTTCTCTGGCGCTCTGTCCAATCACAAACAAGAGTGTTCTCCTAAAAGGAATACCCCTTTCGTATAACTTGAAATGCACAGGTGTTTTCTGAAATGCTGTACGCGTTTCTGAACTTTATGCTGTTTTGACTTGCACTTCCAGGGGCCCACCGTACTATTGTGCCCTGACAGAAAGAGATG